ATAACCTCTGGCTGGAAGATGTGGCTGTAACTGATTGAGATCCTTTCGCGCACGCCAAACGCATGTATGACAGTATTCAAATTGTATTGTCTATTTTGTCTTTATTTGTTTTTCATTTTTGTGTTATTGAATTGCAATTAATACTTTCTATTCTATTCTAAATATTGTTTTTAGGCGTTCAGTCATTCGCATAAAAGGTGCTTTATACAACGAACGTAATAGAATCAAGATATTTCGTTTTATAATTAAAGACGGAAAGTTAAATGATTCGTACCAATCTCGCATATGAAAGGATTCTTCTGTCGACAGTCAGTAATTTCAATGGATGAGAAGGCGAAGGAGGTGCACTGAGTGACGTAATCAATGTGGTTTACCCACACGCGTTCACCGTACTGGAACCACTGGTTCTGTCGTTTGATGAACTCGTATAGAGCTGCGTAGTTGCCTGACACGTACGGCATCGATGCGTTGTCCGACTGGGAGGAGAAAAGGAATGGTACAGTGATGAATTATTGACCCCGAAGTTAGCACTATGGGCACTTGATATGAATACAAATTCAATTTTAAAAATAGAAAGAAAACTCACAACAACAGCAAATTAAACATAAAATCGCATAACATGTACAAATTCTTGTATCTAGAGTTAATAACACATTACTTTAGAATATTGCTCTTGAGCATGGAAAAGCTTTCTACCAAATACACCCTAAAAGATTCGAGCGTGTCTATACACTGAAAGTGCGTCATGTCATTACATTGAAATAATTGTATATAAGGTTCTCTCTCACTAACTCTCTCTCTCTTTCTTCAATTCCAGAATTATGTTACATCTATATTTCTTACATTACATTATAAATAACACAATAGATTATCCACAACTGTTGCGAGTTTACTCGATCGAGTTTAATAGAGTTTACTATTCCAAGATTGAAACAGTTGTAGCAGTAGAGCTTCTTCTAAAAGAGTTTGTCCAGGGACTTCCCAGCAGTAGCATATTATTTATTATTATTAGCATTTATAACTATTTACAATTTTATAACGTGAGCAAAAAACACAGTATAATGTGTTTTTTTTTAATTGGGTCAGTATGGGAAATTGCAAAAATTTTTGTGAAAACAATTTTGGTATAGTCAATTTTTGCGTCAAACGTGAGCTGTCCATAAAAAAATTATAGTTTCTCTTTTTTCGGACTTCCCCATACTATCCCAATTAAGAAAACACACTGTGTCTATATCTACGAGTATATAGAAGAGCGGAGTCATCTGTCACAGATATCACCGTATCCTATCATTGTCAGTCTAAACTTAAAACCGTGAAAGAAACAAACTATTATTATTTTTAAAATATCACTTACCAGACAGAACAATCTAGCCTCCTCATACATCATAGGGGCACCAATATACATGTAGCAAGTACCAGCCACATAATCCCACCCTGGCGGACACTTGCCTCCACCAAGGACAGTCTGATTATTCATATAATACGGTCTATAGTCGACTTCAAGCAATAGAGGATTGTCTGATTGGTCGCGAATTCGTCCTGCGACCGCTAAAGATTCGTTGTAGCTCCAAAAGTTAAACTTTGCGTCTATTTTTGTTCGCCAGAGTTCCAATGAGCTGTAAAGGAGGGTTTAATGTGAGTATAAGTTGATTCAATCTCCTAAAGCCCCGTTTACATTAAAATAGACACATTTTATATGTGTCTATTTTAATGTAAACACAATATGTGAAGCGATTCTATTTTTTATATTAGAAAAAATATAAAAGGATACATAACTTCATTAAGAAAGAAGATATCCATAATATTAACCTTACAACTAAGTCCAAACTCATGGTACCACCATTTTGTTTAACTAAGGTAAACGATTCTTTTATGGGGAACGGTATAAGTTTTTACAATATGATTCCGGTGAATATATTAATCACCATTTCCTAAGTTTAAAACTTACATTAAAAGTACTTTAATTGAAAAGTCATATTACAAAATTGAAGAGTATGTTTTAGATAAAGAAGTGTGGAAAGACAACAAGAGTCTAGATTCCACACAATTATGATTCAGTTTGTATTCCATAGCACTTAAATTTATTTGAAAAGAGCAATTCCTCGAGTTTCTTGCTCGTTCTTCTCCGGGAGGTCAGCGTAGTGACCAAGTAGTAGCTTAAAAAATTACGTTTTCAGGTGTAAAAATGTTACCTATGAAATAAATGATTGACTTTGACTTGATTCAGACTCAGACAATATTATTCCTATGATGAGTGTATGTGTATACATTACAATGAAAATATTATATTAGTAATTTAATGACTTTTTTGCCGTAGCGCCTTCTATAAGAAATTTATTTCTTCACTCAGAGGGGCAACTTTACAGCTACACTCGCTCACTAGAGATGTCGCTATAATTGTAATTTTTAAATTTATTGAATGTCACGATGTTTTACTACTATGATATTCAATTTTTTTCGTGAAAGTACTCCACTAGGTTGTTATAATTATTAATACAAACATGGAACGCTTAGAAAAATTCATTTGTTCTGGCTGGATTCGAACCAGCACGCTCAGGCAATCCGTATTATATTAGCATTCAAATTTAGCGCTATACAGTGTTATTTTTTAAATACTTACAACCTCACAGGATTGTATTACTAACATCATAAACAACAACTTTTGTTCCAAGACGTTTAATAATTCATTAGGTTTTATTTTCGTATAAAAATAAAGATATTTAAATATATAGCTCTAAACGGTGATAATAACTTTGTGCGGTAAGAAAAGAAAGGGGATACTAGTCCAATGCGAAACTTCGGAACGGGGGCGAAAGTTCTCGGTGAGGATGAACGTTTGAACTCACTATCTTGCTACCAAATACAGATGTAGAAGTGTGAAATAGTACAACAAAAACTTAAACTTAGGTTCTGTAAAAAATTATGGAAAAAAAACATTTTTGTGTTGTTAGTAATATAGTCCTAAAGGTTGCTAGTATTTAAAAATACCCTGTGTATTCTATGTGATCTTAGCGTATCTAGAAAATTACAGTTTTGATCCAAACAGAAAATATGAAACTTTCATAAAAAATCTAAAAAGATAAAAACGATTACAGTATCTATCTCTACCATGATTTTACAGTGTAGAATATTTGAATGTAGAAGTTTACTTCTTCATACGACGCTAGGGGCGCTCTACCATTTGTCATATGTATAATGTAAACTCACAGTAAAGATAGAGGAAAGAACAGAAAAGATTCAACAACAAAGTTCTACGGAAATTGCTATTAATAATAAACACAAACGCGACTGCAAATTAATTTTATTAAAAATATATAAGTAAATAAAACATTAGTAAGTGGTAGTGGACAGAACAAACTAGCAGTGGGTAAAGTCATCTTGAGGATGATGATGAATCAGAAAACAACATAATGTGTTTCCATACAAAACATTTTACACAATAGTAGTTTATGTAACTGTCACATAATGAAAGGCACTAAAATACGTGTGTTTTCTTGCATGCCCAGTTATGTACACTGCTTTATCTACACGCATATTATAAGCTCTCTGTGATGTGTTCAAGAACCGCATGTTACGTAGTTTTTACGTACTGTAGTTTTTATTTTTAATTCATAGACAAACTAGAATCGCCCACAACTATCATATAGTTCGGTAACAAGTAACGTGTGAAATTGTCAAAATTGTTTGCTATTGACTTTTAATTTCGAATAAAATTTCATCTCGACTGATATTAGAATTGAGGTCAAATCAAATTGTTTTGTTTTTCAGAGATGTTCGAAATTTGAATGTAATAATAACTTCGAATTCGATGTTATTATGAAGCAATAATAACATTTATATAAGAAATTTGTTCTAACAAAACAGTTTACCTATAAGCTTGTCGTAATTTGCGGTTTTTGAACACATTATGGAGAGTTTATGATATGTGCATAGATAAAAATATTAATGTTATTGTGTTCCCAGTGTCTTAAAAGCGCAAATAGGAATAACGACGGTGGAAATTTGAAATGTCATAAGGGACATTTAGTGGTAAAAGACATTTTTCCCTTACGAATATTTTCCTCTTTATAAAATATTTTTCCTTATTATATAATATTTAATATTTTCCCTCACCGGAAAATGTCTCTTAATACAAAATGTCTCTCATAACATGTAGTATGTGTTGATGACTGTATATTTATATCTGCGAAAATTACACACTAGGATTGAACATACCACATTACCACTTTAGAAAAGAAAACACAAGAAGAAATCAATAAGGACAGCTTCGTGAAAAATCTTTTGTAGGTATACCCATAACCAGTAATACAATACTTATCACCATGCAAACACCACCACCAAAATAATGAGGTTACCACATTAATAACTAAGCACCTAATACGAAAAAAATGATATTTCGTAATAACTAATAATATTCTCGTAGATAACTCACCTCACTATATTGGGATTATAGTCAATAAAGCTATCGCCGGAACAGCCATGCAACAAAAACATGCAAATCAGACCTTATTTATACTCTACCTTAGATACAAATTCTATGCTCTTGAAGTTATAGCGCGTTAGCATTTAAATAATTTTTTAAATTTTTAAAAAAATTTGTAGATAACACGTAGGCATAACTTTTTTTCCATCCTCTAAGGGCATAATGCGTTATGTAAACACAGCGGCATTAATATTCCGTTTTACGATTCAGTATTGCCTATTGCATACTGTTTTAGTATTTATCTGTCAGAATTTTGACAGTGTTGCTATTTAAAATATTGTTTCTACTCATTTAACTTAGTTTTATTGATAATTCCTTTCATATTCTCACGCCGATTACCAAATCCTTTCACCACAATGGCAAACATAATGTGTATGCCATCGACACGATAAAAGAAAACTGATAATAGCTTGAAAGACAGAATATTAATGACACTGAATTGTAGACTTCCATAATCTCAGTACAGAGTACTAAAAAAACCGACCTCAAAAGTACGTGGAGTTACATACAATTACCAAGTTTTATTGAAATCGGTTACCGGAAAGTGCGCAAACCCGGATTCATCCCCTAGTTCGCCACTATACGGGACTTGACACAGGAGATAATAAAAATCGGTTCTCACTACTCAAAGTATATTGAGAGAGAAAAACGCCTTGAATTGGAGAATAGAAAAACAATCATTAAAATAATTGCTCCTTATAATAAAAGTTAGGCGCTATTTATAAAAACGAATCTTCATGCGTGAACAGCCACCCTTAGAGGTGGATGATTTTCTTCAAAATTAGTGGGACCACTATAGAGGTCCCTCTTTCCAACAAAAAAAATCATGAAAATCGGTTCACAAATACCAGAGTTATCACGTAACATACATACAAAAAAAACATGCAGTCGAATTGAGAACCTCCTCCTTTTTATTAATATAGCAATCCAAAAGGCTCTTCTAAACCGTTTGATATTACAACTATTTATTTTATCTATTAGTGCATTGGTACGTCTTTAATTAGAACTTAGTAAAAATTCAGATCATAAAAAACCATTTCGATTGGCATATTGGTAGGCTAGAGCATAGTATTAGATTCCGTAGTATCATTTTACTCGAAAATGAACCTAATGTACAACTTAAATGCAGGTAATTTGCAAATGGGAACTGAAATAGGCACAAGAGAGTTAAATTATATTAAAGCAGGTTTTCCATTGCCACAAAATCGATCGATTCGATTCATGCAGTTTAAGTATCATGCTTTTTACATTAATAATATCAGGCTAAGGATCATCCCACATTCAGCCAATAAAGAATATCTAAAAATAAACTTGTACCTTTTTACTAAGTTTTCCAATTCCGTTTGTGTATATTTTGCAATTAGAAAACAAATTAAGTCAATTTAATAATTTATATCGACATTCAAATATGCAAAATACATTATTGTCCAAGCTTGTTTTGTTACGTTATATCCTTAGAGGGTATATACATACTATAAATTATTGTAATTTTTTACTCGGATTATTTAATAATTTCGAGATGTCCGAGGCAAAACCCAGTAAGTTGGAATTTTCTAGAAATTAGTTATCTAACTCATTATAGCACGAGCGTTGGAGGACCAATACAAGAAAGGAATTTTTAATTTGTTCTGGGCTGGGTTTTCTGGGAAGTGTCCCAGAGTTGCTCTGGCACTCATAGCACAGGGAATACCCTAGTTTCAGACCATGCAAATGGCGTGATTGTCTGGCACATTATTCATTATTCACTTTTCAATGGTGTTACAGTCATAAATTTTAATCTGCTTATAGGATACCACAATAAAAAGAGAGTGATGTAAACTCACTTAACGAAAATGCAACACGATTGCTGCGATTTACCTCGGACTCATCGATGTTTTCAAAATTAGGTACATATGAACTATACTGCCAATCGAAAGTCATATATAGCATTACGTCTCTAATAAATAATAAATACTTACATGGATCGATTGACAGTGATCATTTCGTAGTCATTATCCGGGTTAAAGAAGATGTTGTCCACGTAATGTTGGCCGGCCGTACCAGCCACCACTGTCGCACGCCCTTCGCGGTCTAACGCGTAGTTCCTGGAAATTACATGGCATTTTTTAATATACGTCTATCCCAATATTTTTAATATCCGACCATGTTCAGTCATGACAACCACTTTGACCATAACTATGATCAAGTGTACGGTAGTGTGAAGTATTTCTCTCGTGAGTTTGGGTGTAATTTGTGGTTGTCTATGTGTGTGTGTCACATGGCACCCGCGACCCAGGGTTTCCTTAGTGCGGGGCTATGTTGAGTGTGTGCGTTATTTACTTATTATCATATTTTTTCAAATCTAACTTTTTATGAATGTTTTAATAGTAGTGTCTTACTTATTTTTATTACATTTACATAAATAAGTAGGTAACTAAATCTTTAAAAAAATGCTCTTGTCCAATTTCGTAGAAACATAGTAATAAAAAACAAATAAAAATAGTGATAATATATATAACTTACCTGTAAAACCCATTGTGTGAAGTTGTCTGATAGATGGGCAGCCTCACTTTATCAAAGCCAGAAACTTCGAGTATTCTCATACCCGTGTTGTCATGGACGTAGTTGAACGTGAAGTTGGAGACCACTTGTCTGAGCACTATGACGTCAGTGTAGAGAGCTCTATGACGGGTGAAGTAGTTGCGGTATATTGTCACTTCTTGGTAGGGGGAGGATTGACGACCTACGAAAGGAATGTTATTGTTATTTATGAGGATTACAAAAGATAGTATTATTATTACAAATATATTTACAAAGATCGAACACTCTAAAAAAATTCCTTCGACCCGGCCGGATTCGAACCGACGTCATACAATGCCAGACGCTATATCAACTAAGCCACGAAACGAACCAACGGACCTCACGAATTTTTCTATGTGCTTGCTGTCTTTGTATTTTGTTTTTCAACGACTTTTTAGCCGCAGCGCCATCTATGAGAAATTTATAAAAGTATTTCGTCGCCCAGTTAGATACTTTTACAGCTACCAGCTGCGGCTAGAGATGTCGCTATTCACTGTAATTTAAATTTTCATTTAATTGATATTCAATTATTTGCCACGTTGCTAAGCTTAGTTGTTATAGCGTCTGGCACGGTATGCAAGAAGACGTCGGTTCGAATCCGGCCGGATCAAGGACATTATTCTGAGTGTTCGATCTTTTTATTAATAATTATAACAAAACTAGTGGAGTAATTTCACATAAAAAATAATTGAATATCAATTCGATATAACCTAACCTCGGTACAGAGTACTAAAAAAACCGACCTCAAGTCATTCATCCCCTAGATTACCACCCTTAGAGGTAGAATATTTTCTTCAAATTTAAATGGGACCACTTCTGAGTTACCCTCTTCCAACAAAAAAGAATCATCAAAATATGTTCACAAATGGAGGAGATATCGCGTAACAAACATAAAAAAAGAAAAGAATACAGTCGAATTGAGAACCTCCTCCTTTTTTGAAGTCGGTTAAAATGGCAGTATTTTTTACATTTCAAAATAATTACTTTTAGATAAAAGAAACAATGTGAAATTGCACGTAGGCAGTCCAAAATAGAATCATCTGACAAAAGACAGTGATGTTCGGGAAAAAGAAATAAATCAAGTAAAGTAAAAAGTAAATAAATATATTGAGATTTTTTTATGAAGTAATTCCAATACTTTTGTTATGATTATGATTACAAAGATCAAGCAAAGATCGAACACACAGAAAAATTTTCATCGACCCGGTGGGACGTGAACCCACGACCATGCTGCATCGTAGCATTGCTCTAACCATCTGAGCCACGGAACCAGTTACCGAATCGTCGAAATTCTCCTGTGTTTTTGCTATAGATCTTTGTACTAACTTTCGGCATTCATCGCCGCCGTCGTAATAAGTAGGTAACCTTTTTATTTTATTTTTTATGATACCAAGATTGTAAGCAACACGCCGATCCATAACAGTTGCAGTGCCACTCGGAGCTTTAAATCGCAAACATCTTAGGGGCACTGCGCTAGCCACTCTAGGACTTAAATTGACAAGTCCCATGTGCCCGCAATTTGACCAGCACCATAAAGCACCTTCCAAACCGGAACACAATAATAATGCTCACATTACTGCTTGGCGGCAGAAATAGGTAAGGTGGCTGCACTTCCCTGGATGAACTCTTTCACAAGGAGCTCTACTGCTACTAAAATTATAACTAACATTATCGAAATAAAGTTATTAACATATCAGCGAAAGGAGATCTACAACGCCCACTAATCGATTTTTCAATATCTTATTCAGTTTCAGTTTTATGGTTAAGCTAAATCAGCGTAATGACTTTATTTTAGGTAACAATATTTTTTAGTAGCAGTTGAGCTCCTTGTGAAACAGTTCGTCCAGGGAAGCACTGCCACCTTACCTATTCCTGTCGCCAAGCTGTAATGTGAGCATTACTGCGTTCCGGTTTGGAGGGTAAGGGTGCTAGTGAAATTACAGGCACATGGGACATGTCAACTTATAGTCGGGGATAGTGCAATAACGCGTAACTAGCATTGGATAATAAATTTCCATTTCAGTAAATTAGTGGCCAAATCAAATACGCGTAACTGTCGTGCCAACCAAATAATCGCGATTTAGCCCGTAGTCATTGAAATAACAAAGTAATTACGTTGAATCATTCTCTTGTAAAAATTGGTTTAGTGCAGATACGCTTTTTACCAATGTTTTTTTTAACAATGCTATATACGCGACGTTATGTCTCATGGTGACGGGCGCATTGGCAGCGCCCCTAAAATGTTTGCGATTTAAAAGCTCTGAGTGGCACAGCAACATGTATAGACAGGCGTGTCGCTTACCACCAGGCGCACGCCTTGTTCGTCCCGTCACTTCATAATATAAAAAAATAATTCAAAAGTTACTGAAATAGAAATGAGTTAGTTATGACAAGGATGGCAGAGTAAGAAGTTAACACTGAAGATTGCAATCGTAACGTTATCCCTTATTCTGACATACGTTACATGTACGTTACACAAAAACTTGCCTAACAAAATTAAGTATTCAAGCAACTAGGTAGTTGATTATTTATTTATTTATATTGCACATGTACATGTATATTAAAAAGGTTTTATAATAAAATTTTGTACGGTTATGACCCAGTCAGGGTTATAGTGAGGAGACTTAAAACTAATTATGAAATTACTATACTTCAAATTTAATGAATATAATGAGATCAACGTAAGCTTTCCGTGTGTAGTAACTTTATTTTTAGTCAAAAATTCATTTATAGTATAGCATATTATTATTATGATTTTTGGATAAGAAATTGTTTGTTTATTTTTAAATGTGTTAATGCTATATTAAAATTTAAATTTTATTACAGATTAGAATAGATGTGTACAATGGATTATTTCTGTATACATATTTCTAATTTAGGTTGAGGGAAAATACGAGTATGTTGGTTTCTTACACACAAACAATGTTACTTCCTTGATATAAAGGAATGGGAGTAAAAGGAAGCTAAAGTAGAAAGTAAACACGCTTGAGTTTTATTACTACGCTTACCTTCAACTTTAAGACAGGGTAGATCATGATTAGCGTAGAACAGGTTGTTGTGAATCCATCCTCGAAGTGAAGTAGCTGATCCACGTGAGTCTGCTCTAACGTACAAACCTCCAACATTGTTACGCACTAAATTGTTCTGAAAATCATTGAAATATATGATCATAACGCAAATGTGAATCGTCCAGTCTTTCACTATGTGTATTATTTGCTTTATTATTCAAAAGGAAAACAATCAATTCGACTTACCCTGAACACCAAGGTTTGTGTATTTTGCACATCAATTTTCACAGCAGCCTGACAAGTGGTGAAATTGCCATACAGCTTGAGGCAGTTGCCTTCGATCTCGTTTCTGATGATGGCTACCAGGGGATTCACTTCTCCGACAGATAGGTACGTGATCGCGCCGTCGCGGTTCTTTATGAACTCACTATTTGATATATTGTGCTGGAAGTCGCGATCTGTAAACGAGTAATTTTTGAAATTTAAATGTCCTGTATCCATATTTATTGAGCAATTTGAATTTCACTTTTCTGTGTAAAAAACAAACTTGACTGCAATGAAAATACGTCTCTATCCGTAAATAACAAATTAACATTACACACTTTATTTAATTTACATATGTATAAAGATCTTGTCACAGCTAGAACTACTTTTAAGGAAAGGGAGAACTTACTGAATCCAATTGCAGATATAGGCAACGTGACGATCTCAGCGATGAATCCGTGTACAGCAGATGCTCCATTGGCAAACAACTTCACGCTCAAACTCGGGCCAACAGTTTTGAACAGCTTCTTCTCGTCCGGGGAACCATGCTCCAAGTAACCAATTATAGGTGACGTAACATTGTAGATATCTCCATCGTACAGTGACAAGGAATCACGTTTTCCATAATTAATTGTGTGATTAAAAAGATTGAATTGGAGCAATCTGAATCCAAAAGGTTTTACTCTGTACATACTCTTGAAGATCTTCACGCAATTTAAAGGACTATTGTCGTATTTGTAGTACAGCAACACTCTCTCTTCAACTGTGACCACCTTACTACTATCACAGATATCGATAAGAGAGAACATGTGGTACGGAAGATTCAGGTCTTTAAGTGGTGTGAAACTGGATTCGTCTGATTCCCTACCTTCTCCGGTCAGGGATATCGCGTTTAATCCTTCTCCAAGTACATCGTTCACTGAATTGAACATCATACTAATTGTATCTGTGGGGGATATTAAGTTAATTCCATGATAAGCACATTTGCTGATGTTAACGTTTTGAATTCGAGGATTTTTGACTATACTCTGAACCGCTGGTGACTTCTCATTGTGTAACATTCCTGCGCCAATAATTTGCACGTACTCCAAAACACTTTCCGTTTTCTTCATAGTATCATGCGTGTGGTGATCGTGAATTCTATGTTCGTACAAGGAATATTCAAATTCTGGATTTGTGAACCGTATTCCACCCCAGTAATCAAGGTTTTCCTCTAAGTTTCTCGTTCCACAGTTAACGAACACGAATTTAGAGTTCCATTTACATTCATGTCTATGCCCGTAAAGTTGACCGTTCAGGCGAATTGGGCAGTCTTCATAACGATTTTCGGTGCCGACACATTGCAGAGGCTCCGGCCAGGACCAGATTCTTGACAGAGAGTTACTGTGGTATTCCACACGAAGATCGTAAGCGAAGAATATGTTTATAGGATCAAAGCCCAATTCTCGACATACAACTTGAGCGTTTCTTTCCGTAAAGCGATTGTCACACATAGGGACCCATTGTAAAGTGGTCTTGTTGTAATACTCCAAGAAACCTTCATTAGTTTTTTCAATAATAGTGTCACTAATAGAACAATTTCTTCCTGAACAAAGTCGAATAGATTCTCGTACTTGTAAATTTTCTAATTGTCGTTTATTTTTGTGATGATCACCATGATATTGACCTATTTCTCTTTTTTGGATGCGATTGACTTCTACATTTGCTGGTAGTGTCATAGGTCTCATAACAATGGGGAGTTGGCCGTGGCCTCTGGCTTGAAGATTACCCATGACTAAAATACCAACATTTGGAGCGAATTCCATCACAACTCCTGGATTAATGTGAAGAGTAACATTAGGCATTACGGTGATATCGGCTTTCACGAAGTAAGGTGCTATACGAGATTCTATAATTAGATCGTGTTTCAATCGTCCACCAAGATCGTTTGTGTCCATTGCTAATTCCGAGCTAAATGAAGCAGACACACTTGAATCGAAATGGTCATCTAGCAAGTAAGGTAAATACGAAGCTATGGCGTGATTGTTCCAGTCGTCGAAATCAAATATTTGTTTCTTGATTTCTTTTTCATCAGCAGTGCCCCACCAGTTTTCGCTAACATCTAAAAGATTTTCTATCTTAGCAGTTTTGATTCCAGCCAGCAAAGTATATTGTAACGCATTATTTCCGAATAGATTTCTACTAACTTTGACTTTCTGAATTCCCTTGAATCCTATTACATACGTAGGATCATCAATTCTGTAGAAAGCTCCACGGTTCATCTGAGCAATATACTTGTTATTTTTCACTTGGTTATATACAAAGACTGCGTAAATAAGTCCCATTATCTCACTATGACTATCCATAAAGAACTCAACCATGTGCTGGCCATTGTTCCTTTCAATATAATTACCATCCACCTTCATTCTCTTCTCCATACCTTTAATAGAAACTAAACCTGTCTTACAGCTGTTATCCGTAAATATATTTTTGGTAATATTGACTGCGGCGAAGTGACCGTCAATGACTAGCCCGAAATTTTGATTATGTCGCCAAGTATTGTTGTGCATAAATACAGAATGAGTGAAATTCTCATTGTATTGCCAAACGTACGGCAAACTAATATCAAATCCACCATTTTGATTTCTCTCTATCGTATTGTCTTGTAGAACGTAATGATACAAATTGTTGGAACTCCTCAAATCTCTAGCAAAGTGATAAATACCTCGTCCGTTGTCAGTGATTAAACTGCTGTTCACCATAATAGTGATTTCAGTAATGTTGCTGTCATATATATCCCAGAAAGGCGTATTAACATAAATAGCTTCTTCCTTATTATGAGCTATCTCGCAATTGACTATTTTGATACTTTCGTTAGCTTTTCTTAAGAAGTGGTCTCCGAGTTCGTTTAAATATCTATTGTAATATAATGCTTGAACTCCTTTTGTGTTTCCTTTTATTTTAGAGTTCACGACTTGTAACGTTGGTATTGGACCTTTAACGATTCTGTTTCTTATATTTTGAACTGGAGCAGTAATTGAGCTGACAACTAAAACCACACCTCCTAATGCGTTATGCCCACTTTCATAAGATACTACGACACCGAATGTGTTACTTGTAGTAGGGAACGTTGCCAAGTCTCGATCAAGACACCATTTTGTGCTTCCTTCATTTATATTTTGCGAATCGTATATACAGATGCTTTCTGTTGAGAAATTGTGTATCGGATTGAGCAGTTGAAGTCCAAGAACATAGCCTGGATTGCACTTAATGTTATAAGTTTTCACAATATTTTCACCAAGTTGTTTTGAAAATACAATGTACCTTGTTTCTCCGTTTGCTAAACTTATATCTGTTGCGTATTCAGGTACTATTATAGGATGGTAGTTTGACTCATCCATGTTGAAACCTGGTTCTAAATTGAACCAACCTGCAAGTTCTCTTTGCTTATGTCCAGTTAGATGAGGATTGTGAGAAATTCCTGCCATTTCATTGTTCTCTATTACAGAACCATACACTTTTAATCCTAGTTGTTTAAAACTTATTCCTGCGCCTTTGTTATTACTAAATTCTGAATTACGAACTGTATTTACTGCATCGGCTCCATACAGATCTGAATAAAGAATGCCCAAACCATCGTGGTAGTTGTTTGATACTTTCACACTTTCTAAACTATGTCGAGCAAAATCTATTTGAAGTGCGGGTTTGAATGTATTAGATGAATAATCTAATAATCCTGCTTTTTCTACAGTGACGTATTGTAAGTCTGTTCTTTCAGATATAGCACTAAAGCGCAATCCAGCCCAACTAGTTTCATAGCATCTAATCCCAACATCATTGTCATGAGTGCAAGAGTTTTCAAAGCTGTCAATTGTTTCTGCTTTACACTTTGTAATATCTTTATCGAATTCATTACATTCAACATTGGATAAAAGAATATCCTCTGTCATACCAGCTGATGGAATTTCATTAGGTTCTAGATACCAATCGTCTGGGTTCAACGTCAGGCCAAGTTGGTGACAAACTAGAGCAGCATTTACTATGTTCCAATTATAATTACAAACTGTTCCCCATTTTCCATCTAACATTACTTGTAATCTACCTTCGTGAGGAGTTCTTCCACCTAATAGTCTTACAGGAACGTTTAGATCCACATATCTTTGAGTTGATGGTTCTAGTTCAGCGTCAGTCTCATAAAAACTGTCATTAGTCATGACTATTTCCTCTTTTAAAGTCAAAGTTATGTCATTTGGTCGTTTCCCTCTTGCGTCTAGCTTTCCTGCTATCATCATTCCTATTGACGAAGGGAATCTTAATGTGACGCCCGGTTGCAAAATTAGTTTGCCACCTGGACGAATATTAATGTCTTTATCAACATCATATTCTCCTGGTTTTAGACTTTCAATACCTTCCACTTCACCTCCAACAACAAAAGTTCCTGGTATGTTAAACTGAGGTACAAATAGAGAATGAATATTTGCTTGAGTTGCTCCAGGATTACTACTATGTAATAAGTATGGTGTGTAAACGATTTTGGCCAAATTAAACCTATCTTTACGATGAAAAAGTCTGTTGTAAACTTTGTCTTCTTCTCCAAAACCGAGCCAATTGTACGTGCAGTTTAGAATCTTGCTTTGATCTTCAACATGAGACCCAATTTCGTACTGAGCTTCTGGGTTGCTGATTATATTCCTAAAAACGTCGATATTGGCCGATGACAAAACTATTGTCGCTGCAACTCTACTCCTTGGAGTCAGTTTTGTCGGTACGCCGTCCATCAGTTCAAACGGTTCTCTTATTTTATTATCGCGGAGATAGTTCCTAGAAAATAGTATATAATGACGATGACTGTAAGTTGATAAGCCAAGATTGACAACGAACGGTCCTTTGTTTCCGTAGAAATAATTGTGTTGTATATTAAATCTTGCCGGTAGTATTTCAAACTCTTCCAGGTACCTTCCTTCTATTCGATTCAGTATGACTATCGCACCATAATTACCACGTTCAAAATAATTGTATTCTATGCACCCATTTACATTTAAAGCAGGCTGAATTTTCAAGGGCACTTTCTGATTGTCATAAAACCTATTGTGGCCTATTTGTAAATTAAGCAATTTTGACGGACTTAGTCTCCAACATGTTGATATGTCTATTGTGCTCTCAATGCTCGCGTTAAACCAATTTCCAGTAATGTTTACCCAGCTGTCACCACAATAATTTCCATGCAAAATGCCCACTTCCAAATTTTTAAATATTTCTGAATATTCAACAACTGTAGTTTGATTCACAGGAATGTATTCCGTTTCTTGAGTGTTGTTTATCCAAACAGCAATTCCATAACCTTGATTCGAGCTGATAATACTTCTGGAAATATTCCTGTTACCTCCTGTCACGGTGACATTAATACCATCGCCTTGGTTAAACGATATTCTACTTTCAGTAACATTTACATCTCCGGCTCCATTGACAACTTGCAATCCAGCAACATGATTGTTATTTGAAATAGAAGTTCGATGGATATGAATTTGCGATCTCAAGTTTTCAATCACTACTCCTCGACCATTGTTATCCGAAATAATTGTATCAGTTACGTTCAAATCATAGGTCTTGCTGACCCCTGACGTTAATCGCAGAAATCCTGTTATATCCGTTCTAGTGTTCGCTCGGAACCTCACGTACATTCTACTTCTTGTAGATGTAACACTTTGCGGTCTTGTGAGGTTTCGTATACTAAAGTGCATTAATAATTTGTCATTTGCAGTTAGGCCATCGTAGATAAACATTTCTCCAGTATCGTTCTGGTTGGTTAATAGTTTTAGAAAATTCAATGTGAGAACGTGATCAGATCTCGTATAAAATTTTTGGTTGCAATCTCTCTCCATATTGGAATACCTTGATTGTTCTATAGACATTTGGATAGGGAACGTCTGACTAGGGGTAGAAGCGAGAGTGCAGAGATCGAAAATGTCGCGTCTGTCTAAATTCTCGTCGATGTTTAACTCGTGCACGACGTACTTAACCCCGTCGCCGCCGTTATCATGAATCAAGCAATTCTCTATCCTGGTCATGCCGTACGTAGAATTCACATAGACACCGTAACCTCTGTTATTTTGTATAGTGCAATTGTTGATAACTATAGGAGCGTTCGGTGATGTCACATTTATAGCGTTGAACGCTGAGTTGGTTATCTCTATGTCTTCCATAACTGGCGGTACGCCAATGACGTCTAGGGCACTTGTAGCGTTGTTATCTCTTCCCAGGCCCGCGTTTTTTATGACGATGTGTTCCAAGCGCGACATGGATGTAGGTACGTATAACGTGTTAGTTGCGGTGAGTACTCGTTCATATACGGAGTTTTCGTATCGTATTCCCCTCCAGTGTCGTTCTGTGATTCTTGAGTCGTGGTGTGGGGAGCATTGGATGCCTAAATCTGGGTGATAGTCGCATACGCCTGAACCAAGTTGCCTGGAATCCCAGTCGCACTGAAACACGTCGTACTCTGTTCCTTTACACTTGGGTTCCTCATAAAGTAGTCGTGCACGACGGCCTGACTGGCGATCCATCCAGTTGTAAAAGGACCCTCCCATGAAGCCAAGTTGTCTACACGCAGTTTCCATGTCGTTAATGGTCCAACTGAAAAAGAAAAGAAAACAAACTTAATTCTAACATTCCACTGAAACTTTCTCCCTTTGCAAAGGTAATGTTCTTTTTGCTTGTTATAGGTATGAGTTTTGCATAACAAGAGTGTGTTTCGAGAGTAAATTGTTCAAATGCTTTTGTAACTATACCTGTGTACAATTATGAACTTCGCGGATTACACAAAAAATATAAAAGACAATGAATACACACACAGCAAAAAGATGCATCATCTTTTGTGCTAATTTTTTTTTTATAACTTCTAGTCACGGGACGAACAAGTCGTGCGCCCGAATAAATAAATGTACATACTCAAGGTATTTATTTACAGCAGTGTTTTTAATTTGAACATACACAAGAAAGAGGTAACATAGCATCAACATCTGATTACGCGATGGTAGGTAAAAACATAACAAGTGCAGAAGTTGAATGACAATACGTACCGGTTGCTAACAGTGAATTGCACAAAAGTCCTTTACATTACTTACAAAATTGTGCTATACTGTCCTTTCCTTTATTGAAGCATAACTTGATGCAGCATTTTACTTATTGAAAAATTAAAATTATTGGAAGTTTATGCAATTTAGCGTCAAAGTTTAATAAAAAAAAATAATAATAAGAAGTCGCTAACTCAAAGCAAATTATCGGAATATATTAGATTGTTACAAGGAAATATAATAAATATATATAATTAAACTATTAACATATGAAAGACAGCAAAATCAGCATGTTACTTTGTTAGTTTTACAATATTACTCTATATGAAACTAATGTACATAATTATTTTATACATGGATGCTATTTTCATGCATAAAAATTGTAATATTTAAAGTAATATTGTAGAAAAAAATATTATAATTTTATGGTTAACCACTTTTGCACTGATAGCCTCAATTAACATAAGAGGAGTTTTAAGTTTGTGCCCATATCCCCTTTATATCGGGCATACTATTTGATCCATGAGGATTTCCTCCTTCCTACGCAAAAAAATCAGTATACTTAATTCCAATATTTATTGAATCATATCACGTATTTGTAGTACCATGGTTTACTTATTTTTTTGTGAAAATACTCCACTGATTTATTAGGTAGGTATTATTGTTAATACAAAGATCGTACGTAAAGAAAAAATGCTTAAAATAAAATGTTTATTGCTCCATTAGATACAGAAAAATATAAACCCACATCCTCTCCAATTGGAGATTAGATATAGGAAAATATAACCCATACGTATTTAATGGAGCAATAAACATGTTTGACGTAATTCCACTTATGCTATTCTTCCGTGAGGGGTGCGATTTGTTGGCGGAATTTAACAAGAACGAAGGCCAGCGACATCTATTGATGATGGACATTAAAATTGAACCGGTCCAAAATTAATTTATTTTTGTTTTATTATTTATTGCACAGGAAAAAGCACAGAGTGTTCTTTTAAGGGATTCTGTCTGAACCCTTAGCAAAATACACGAAAATGTTGTGTGACATACTTTAACAATTATAACAAGAAAATTGTCATTTATGCTGTAAATTGTGAAATAGAAACTAGAAACAAAATACTGCCGAAACTCAAATTGTAGACCTGAAAAAACACGATTTGAAAGTTAAAAAAATATATTAATTAAACCAATAAATTTATATTCTGAATAACTAAATATTATGTAAAAGTAAATAATAATAATCTCATTATTCGCAATAAGATCTATCGGTATTTTTCTTGAACTTTCAATACGTGTTTTTTGAATTACGTTATTTATTTGGTTTCAAGCTATGTGCGTTATAATTAAAATAAGGTTATAAGGTATACGACTGGCATGTTCTCTAGAATAAAAGTCCTACCTTTAAATAAAGACTAAAAATAAAACAGACCTACAGACCGAGTCAGCAGATCTTACAATAATATTTTATACAATCATTGTATAATGAGGATTTTAAGACCTAACTATGTAATGATTGCATACAATGCTTTTTCTATATATATATAAATAAAATAATGAAAAAGAACCAACATTTACTGTATATCTTGCAATCCATGACAACAAGCGCAATTTATTAAATAAATTTTAACCCATTTATTAGGGTAGGCAAAGGTTCTATCATACAGTCTCTAGCCAAACAAACGCTACAAAATTTGAAACTAAAAAGAGCGCCTATAGGATATGATTTACGAAATTATAATTGACAGATAAGTACACGAGTAGAAAAATTTCTATAAATGTTTGATACCGATGTTTTGTATTGGGTTTACAACGGCTATCTTCACCGTCAGCAATATTTATGTCTGGCCACATGACCCATAACAATAACCTTAAAGACTAATATACACATGCAATATAATATAATAGTGTAGTAAACTAAATAACCAATTTACACGAATTGCACTAGTCGGCCGCTGCACTATGTTCATATACTTAATAATAGTAAACTTACTTTCTAGAATTAGTGCAGACAGATCTCCACTGTCCCCGGTGAAGTAATTGGACCCGTCCAGCCAAGATCGAAGGTCCATCTACGAGACGAATATCAGGGATCGGTTTCGCAGACTGCACTGGCTCTTCTGTACTTGTGAATGTGATCTTATTGTGATGGTCTCCCTGAAAATATAAAAATATTTATTTGATGAATTGTGAATTATTTATGGTATGAAAATATGATTTCTTGTCATTCAGTGACAATCTTTATTCTCAGGTATGCAAATTATATTTGGAACCGTCATATTGATTAAATAAACTGTAATGGTCATTCGTAAAGCAGATTCCCCTGAGAAGAATGAGCAAGAAACTCTAAAAGTTTCTCTTTGTAAATTTTATTTGTAAGTCAATGTTGTAAATATACTTTTGAATACATTTATTTTATTTCGTTTCAAACGTCTTAGATCTAGAAGCTAAACGGGTCACTATCTCGGATTTTTGTCATCCAAGTACGCAGAAGCTGTATATTAATTTTTAGTACAAAGTTTTTGTTTCGCTATGATTTTAAATCGCGATCCAAAAGCAACGATGTCCTACCAAACTATGACTTCTTTCTAAAAAAGGAGGTTCTCAATTCGAAAGTATTTTTTTGATATATTACGCAATTACTGTGACATTTGAAAACCGATTTCTATGATTCTTTTTTTTGTTGGAAAGGGGGTACCTCACTACATTGCTCACATTTTCTATAATTAATTTTTCTGATGTATTTGTGGTGCAATAAAGAATACATATACTTCAGTAGGGATTGAATCCGGTTTATTGGAGTTCACTCACTTTCCTTTAACCGGTAAATGTATGTAGGTAATTGAACAAACTTTTGACGTCGCATTTTTTAATAATAAAGTTATATCATTGTTCGTCTGAATTCTTTGTGTGGTTGTCCTTATTCAGAATTCCATAAAATATTAACTGACAATTAGTTCTTTGTCCACTTTTGTTGCTTAATACGTCAGGCCAGGAGCACCCAGCGTATCTCATTTATACAAAAATATAACAATATGGTTTCACCACGTTTTATATTAAAACTAGGCCGAGAACAATGATTTGCTTAGTATTAGTACAAAGACAAGTTACCTAACACAACGGGACAATTAAAAACATTCATACTTTCCTTCTAAGAGAGGTTCAATTTAACTTGCTACAAAAATCTTACTTATCAATATTAAGTTTATTAAATATTACGTTTTTTTGTGAAACTTTACTAGGAAATGAAACTATTAAATCGCGTATATTTATTTTTTCAAACAAACCAACGTTTCGATTAAGGGCTTAACAAGTTCCATGGTCACGGTTGACTGAAGTGGTACAGTCATCAATCAGTTACGTCTAATATTAATGCGAACCACCCTATTTTTTCATTATAGTTACAAAAGTTATTAATTAAATACATTATTTTTAATTTTACAAAGAAACATTCCAATTTACGTTACATTATGGTTTACTGTGGTTATGTGTTACTCCACTAGTTTGTTATAATTATTAATACAAAGAACTAACACTAAGAAAAGTTCCTTCGATCCGGTTGGACTTGATTCAGCGCCTTCAGCATATCGTGTCTGACGCTACAATAAAATACAATAAACTTAATATTACAAATTTTAAAGCGACATCTCTTGTCAGCCGCTGGTAGCTATAAAGAAAAACTTTTATAGTTTTTTCACAAATGGCGCTACGGCTCGTAAGGTCTGCTGGTTCGTTCCGTAGCTCATTTGGTAGAGCATCAAGCACGGTATGCTGAAAGCGCTGGTTTGAAGTCCGCCGGAACGAAGAAATTTTTCATAGTGTTCAGTCTTTGTCTTAACAATACAGCTCCTTGTTAAAGAGTTCATCCTGGGAAGTACTGCCACCTTACATATTTCTGCCGCCAAGCAGTAATGTTGACATTATTGCGTTTCGGTTTTGAAGGGTAAGGGTGCTGCTGGTGAAATTACAGGCACATGGGACTTTTCAACTATGTTTCAGGGTAATGGTTGCAGTGGCGGGCACCTCAGATCTTTGTGATTTAAAGCTCTGAATGGCACTGCAACTGTTATGGACAGGCGTGTCGTTTACATTCAGACGCACGACTTGACCGCCCCATCACTCTTCAATGTTACTAATAAAATAAAAAAAAATTAGACAATGTTTCTTCAAAATTTCCAACATATTTGTGAAAAATAGGTGCGCCGGTCTGAGGTTTCACTTACGACGTAGCTCTATTACCTGCTAGACGTTCAACAGGCAGTACATAGGGCTTTATTGTAACTGCAAATAATTATCCACGTGCATTCTACACAATGGAATTGTTTTCGCAATACTTGTAACCTGAAAGCGGTCAAGCGAAACTGGGCGAGCGTAGTCAGAATCAGAATGAACGGACGTGCGAAACCGGAGAATTTTGGCAATAATATCTTTTGTTTGGACAGTGAAAACATGCCGATTGTGCACAAAATAAGGCCATTGCAAAAATTCCCAAAATTCTAAATGCAGCACGAAATGTTACAGTAATCTCTAGCAAGCAAATTATGAAATGGACAGACGTCTTTGCACTTTGGTGCACTTGAATTGGTTTATGTTAGAAGAACAGTGAGTCAACAAAGCCAGGCTAAAAATCAGCAACGCGTGGCACATAGCCACAAGAATTAAACTGATCCTTTCGTTCCTTTTGTTGTTTTTTATTATATCAAGTTATCCTCCCACTGTTGTTGTTCTCATGACATTGTTAGGTATGATTATGTTCTGTTTTGTATTATTGTGTGAGGTAAATAAATGGTCTGGTCTTTTGGCTGAACTAATGACGATAATGATGTAGGAAATTAAATATGTAGTAAATTTCGTATGTTGAGGCGGTACCTCGTAAAGGGAATGGATGATAATAAAAATGGAAGTAAATTAATTTACTTCCATTTTTATAGCCCATGCTGCAACGCCTGAATCTATCAATTACTGAATGGATGATGTTATTCAAAATAGTTAGATTTTAAAACTTTCTTGGTTATTCACCAAATGATTGTCGCTAATTCGTACCATTGGTACATTAAAGCCATATGCGATCATACGTCACAAGTGCTTTTACCACATGACAGTCATAAAAATAACACGAACTGCACGAAACAAATTATGTAAGTACACGAGAATTTTTATAACTCTCCCATTTAAGCATCAAAAGGTTATCGATTAATTTCGTTTCAAGATTTTGTAAACCTCTTTCCTGTAAAATTGTTATTTTGCAGATGTGACTTTGTTACTCCAAAGGTGTGAATTGCCGGTTTCTTTATTTTTTATATAATACCAAGTGACGGGATGAACAAATCGTGCGCCTGGTGGTAAGCCACACGCCTATTCATAATAATTGCAGTGCCCAGTCACCCTGAGACTTGAATTGACAAGTCCCATGTGCCTGTAATTTCACCCGCCCGAAAGCAATACTAGTAATATTCTAACACTCTATTTGTAACATTAAAATTGTAGATTCTTTTTTAAACTTCTCCAATCCAAATGTAACGTGATAGAAGGACAATGAAAATGGGTTCGAAATTTTATTCAACATGTCTTGTGAACTTGTCGAAGACGAATTGAGTGCAACGAACGAACGTAACAAATGCGTAGGCGTTCTTACCGATACCAACGCACCGATACTAAACGGTAATACCTTTTTAAAACACATAAAAGTAAACATAGAAAGGCTGGAATATATGCTTTATGCGGGTTGTCACAAGGTTTAGAACACTTAATTTACACCTAGTTGACCCACAGGTATGGAACTGGTGAATAGCTTGTTTTTGCGTTTTAAAGGGACAGCACAAACCGGCGGACTGCAAGGCAGAGGACATTAAATTTGTCAATGCATATTTTATGGTATTACAATTGAAATAAGGTATAAAATATAAAATAAAAATACTTTCCTAAATTTAATGTCTACAGCCTTGATGTCGGTCGATTTGCGTTGGCTATTAGAAGATTTACTATATATACATAGGGCGCACATAAGTTTCCGGAACTGGCCACTTACATAAACAATATTTAAAAAATAATTACAACATTTGAAAATGGAACTCTTTGGCTATAGAACACAGTTTGTTTCATCTGAGTGTCACTTGTTTTTAAATTGTGGCGTCATTTTAGAAATTGGTTGTCTACATCACCATGGATTTTCCTCGTGAAAATTTTCGTAGTATGTTTTTCTACGACTTTAAGTGTAATTTAACAGCTTAGCGGAGCTTCGCTCCGCTTCAAACTGCATTTGGCGATGCAGCACCATGCAAGACGACTATTTATAGCTAGTTTGCAGAATTCAAACGCAGTCGTGTGAATCTCAGTGACGAATTTCGTGATGGTCGCCCGTCCACTGCTGTGAACAACAAAAACATCGATACTGTGCGCCGTTTGATCAAAACAGACAGGCATGTGACATACCATGAAATTCGGGCATCTTTAGGCATAGGCATGAGTTAAATACGATCAATACTACATGAGCCGAAACCAACCAAATTGGCGCGCGTGCAAAGTGCCTCAAAGGGATGATTGCTTATTTTTTTAATAAAACTGGACATGTGGCTACTGTTGCTTTGGAGAATTGTTGTACCGTGACTAGTGATTGGTACACGACCATTTGTTTGCCGGAAGTTATTGACAAACTCCGTAAAAGTAACCGTAAACGCCGTATCATCTTGCACCACGATAATGCCAGTTCTCACACGGCCAGACAGACAAATGAATTTTTGAAGGTGAACAACGTTGACCTTATGTGCCATCCCGCATACAGTCTCGATCTCGGCACCTTGTGACTTTTATTTATTTCCAAAAATTAAGAACCAGTTACGCGGTCATCGATTTTCATCACCTGAAGAGGCTATCGAAGAGTATGAAAATTATGTTTCAGAGATTGTCACGGAGGAGTGGCATAAATGTTTTCAAAATTGGTTCATTCTGGTATAGTAACGGAGAATATTTTGAGAAACAATAAATTCATTTCTGACCATTTATAGTATTTTTTTCTTATTCATTCCGGAAACTTATAATGCGCCTCACGTAGTAAATAATTACAACTTTTTTATATAAAATAAACCGACCTCCAAAGTCTGACCGAAAAAATACGTTTTCGCTGTGTTTTATTTTCATTGGAATTGCATATATATGTA